GGCGGCTATATCTCATAGGACAGCACTTTGAATTTTGTATGCTTTCGAAGAATTTGAAATTTCACTTATGATTAGCTCATTAATTTTATTCGAACTTACATTGACCAGCACAAATGGCTTGATATAGTGCTGAGTGAGGTTCTGGTTGGAGGTTGGAGTCTGCTGCTGCCCCATTTGCCGTTGATCGTCTTTGACTTCTGCCACTGGCTTTGGAGTCATATTGTCCAATGCCGGGAATGCTGTGCGTCGGGCTTGTACGGCATTACGTTGTAAGTTTCGAGGCGTGTTTTGAATCCCACCTGCTGCTGTACCATCTTTTCGTTCTACGCCTGTCACTCGGATTCCTCTGGAACGAATGCCTACGAATTCCTTTAGCGTCATTTCTGCGGGGCTGACCCACTTCATCGCCAATTTGAGCTGCATATCAAACTGGGTCTTCGGTTGCAGTACTCCATAACGTAACCAAAGGGCGCTATCGGTATCACGGGCCACTGCCGACCTAGTGTCCGGATAACGGGACGCCAGTTCTTGGAGGCTAGCATCTAGAACAAATAAATAACTTTGATTCCTACAACAACAGATAAGACGATTTTGTTTCAGATAAAGGAATCGACTAAAACCAGCGAGAAAAGAAGAACAACTTACTACATTCTGACGTGCATCCTAGTGCCTGAGTAATATTTTTGTACTCAACATAAACACCGTGTTGTATAGCCATGTGACCACGTAAAGCAGAAATTGAGCAGAGCTTGACTGAACACGATGGACATTCAATCTGCGCATTCACAGGAGTTGGTGGACAATAGAGAGAAATAAGCTGGAACAGATCATATTAGCTCGTTCTAAAACACACTTTCGGAGGACAAGGTCGTCTTTGCAGCCCATGACCGGGTCAAACAATCGCTGGGCCGAATGTAGACAAAGACTCAAACTGACCCCTTCTACACCACACTTCGACTTGTTATGCGCATCGATACCTGCTTGTGTGGACACAATAGTGTTACAAGTTGAACAGAACATAAACCTAAAAATATCACATTAAAAAAATGATTTCGGTAAGAAAACCGAACGATACCACTGCAATCAAGTAGTTAGACTGTTAGCACCTTATCAACCTCAGATTTTGATTTCGACAATCGGATCAGTTGCACATTTCGAAAACTACGAAAAAAGGGGCACGGAAGTAGTCCCTCAGATATAGTCACGCTATATTGAACTAAACAGTCCGCAAAAACGAAGCTGTCTAGGCCATTAGATCCTTCCTCAGCCGATATAGGACCCTCAGGAGAAAGGAAGGACAGACAAGCAGTCACGAAAACCATGCAATAACATGGGTTATCAAAAAAGGTTCAGTGCCGTCATCCTTCCCATGGCTCAACAGTAATTACCGATTCATCCACCATTTCCTGCCCTATAAAAGTCTGCTTCTGCAGTGGAGGGCAGTGTGTTCTAGAGCAGAACTAACCGATAGAAGAGAAAATCTTGAACAATTTTGAATAAATTTCCTTGACCACCGTTTAGTGGAAAAAAGTTTTCAACCAAAAGCAACTAAATACCTTCCTTCCACCGCTTTCTACTGAACTACAAATGTTATTTCAAGAAAAAAAACCCTTCTTCAACCCGCAGGCATCACACACCTTTTCAAAAACAGATTGCCTGATAGTAGTTCCATACAGGCAGAGATCGGCAATGAGATGCGTTTTGTGAATCTTGATACCAACAAGTCAGCGAACTTATCGGCCGCAAGCGAGGTCTGAAATTAAGCCAAGATAATAAAGATTGACACAAAACTCCTCAACGAAACTATCGCCGGACATGAAAATCAGTTTCTGTCAAGATAGGCCCCTATTTCAGCATCTATTATGATTACAATA